AAGCACCGAGCTGATCTCCCTGTGCTATGCAGCTGCTTCCCACTAGCCATCCATTTTACATTTGGTACTGTATATGTCAGTGTTACTCTCTCACTTCATCCCAGTTTACCCTTCCCCGTCCCCGTGTCCTCAAGTCCATTCTCTACATCTGCATCTTTATTCCTGTCCTGCCCCTAGTTTCATGAGAACCATGCTTTTTCTTTTCTTTTTTTAGATTCCATATATATGTGTTAGCATACAGTATTTGTTTTTCTCTTTCTGACTTACTTCACCCTGTATGACAGATTCTAGGTCCATCCACCTCACTACAAATAACTCAATTTCGTTTCTTTTTATGGCCAAGTAATATTCCATTGTATATACGTGCCACATCTTCTTTATCCATTCATCTGTCAGTGGACACTTAGGTTACTTCCGTGTCCTGGCTATTGTAAATAGAGCTGCAATGAACATTGTGGTACATGACTCTTTTTTGATTATGATTTTCTCAGGATATATGCCCAGTAGTGGGATCGCTGGGTCATATGGTAGTTCTGTATCAATTTACATTCCCACCAACAGTGCAAGAGGGTTCCCTTTTCTCCACACCCTCTCCAGCATTTATGGTTTGTAGATTTTTTGATGATGGCCATTCTGACGGGTGTGAGGTGATACCTCATTGTAGTTTTTTTTTTTTTTTTTTCTCATTGTAGTTTTGATTTGCATTTCTCTAATGATTAGCGATGCTGAGCATCTTTTCATGTATTTGTTGGCAATCTGTATGCCTTCTCTGGAGAAATGTCTATTTAGGTCTTCCGTCCATTATTGGTTTGGGTTTGTTTTTTTGATCTGGAGCTGCATGAGCTGCTTACGTATTTTGGAGATTAATCCTTTGTCTGTTGCTTCATTTGCAAATATTTTCTCCCATCCTGAGGGTTGTCTTTCCGTCTTGTTTATGGTTTCCTTTGCTGTGCAAAAGCTTTTAAGTTTCATTAGGTCCCATTTGTATTTTGGGTAGGAATAGACCAGTAGTTCTTAACTGAGGGAGGATTACTACCCCAAAGAGGACACTTGACAGTGTTTAGACATTTTTGATTGTCACAACTGTTAGGGAGGCTGCTTTTGGCATCTGTTGGGTAGACACCAGGGATGCTGTGAAACAGTGCGTGAGATAGTCCCTCCACAGAAAGAATTATCCAGCCCCAAATGTAAATGGTGTCAATGTTGAGAAACCCTAGAATAGATGGTTTAACTAGTTTTCAGGCCAAACCAAGATATCATTATATTACTGTTAAAAAAAAATTAACATTTTAAATAATCTGG